TGTTTGTGACTGTTTAGATGACTTGAGGCTCAAAAACATTGTGGCCTCTGATTTCCTTTGTATTTTGTTAATACAATGTGAATTTCATTTTACCAAATTACAAATTCCATAACTATAAAAAGATGTTTCTCAAGATCAGTATATCAATGTTTGATTTTCTGTTGTGTCAATGATTTGCCAACACAATTAATTAATTGTGCCACAGCAAATCTTTATGTGTCAGTGGCATGTCATATCAGTTTAGAGGACACACTGTTCTCCTCGAGTAATTCAACCCCTGGTAATGGTCACATTGGAATGCTATTAATTGAGGTTGATATTTCATCTCTATGCAAGAAATGTACCAGGGTAATTCGTCTATCTGTGCCTATGCTTCCAAGTTTCTATGTTCACTGACATTGACCATTTGAGAATTCAGGAAATAGAGTTCTGTCACAGAATGTGAACATTCACACAGTGCAAAACGTTTTTCGATGACAATTTTGGACTGTTATTTTTCATTAAATTATTCCAACAGTCAAAATGTAAAAGATGTAAAATAGGACATGATAGTCATAGTCATGACAAAAAAGTACATGAATCAGCTTGAAAAAGTTTCCTACTTGGCTAGAACAACAGAAGCGAGTCAAGACATATTTTGTGACTGAAAATGACCATTTTTTACCCCAAAAAACCCTGAACTGTGCTTTTAGGAGAATACCACAAAATAGACAAATAGGCACTAGGTATCGGTTGAAATGATCGCTGTACTGCCTTTGAGCATACTTTGTGGAAATATTGCAATAATCTAATAATAATAATAATAATAATAATAATAATAATATATATTTCAACCACATGACCTTCAAAATTACAAGATGTAGCACATAATAAAAGCAAAAATAAATTATGGGACATATGTGGTAATAAAAATAAACTTACATTTCGGAGAGGATATAGTATTAAGACTACCACCAAGGAAAGTACCACTGCCCTCATCCTGTACAACAACTCTGGATTTCTGCAGATGTGTGTTACCAGCCTTTAATAATTTCACCTCAATAGGATGGCCAATGTTTGCCATACGTAGATGCAGTCTGCCTTTCAATATTGTCGTAACACCAACCGGTCTCACGCTACCACCTCGTGTCTGTAATATAATAACATTATTAAATGGTTGGGTGGGTCACGTATACAAAGGTAGATTGGCTGGCACCAGTAATTGGATGAATAGATGTAGGGGATGGAAACTAATGGGCTGGAGGTTTGACTGGATGGATGAATAGATGGGGTTTAGATCAGAGGTTATGATGGTTTGATAGAATGGATAGCTAGGTACATAAATGTAAGTAGGTAGGATAGATGGCTGAATGGGTAGACTGGTAAGATAGATGTTGGTGATAGATAGGTTGATATGATGAGATGAATTGGTGGGCATAGTGAACAAGTTAAAATTAAACTAGATACATGAGAAGAATATGAGTCTTGATCAAAACTTGAGAAATGAGTTGAA